GGTTCCACGTGATCCTTACCCGTCTCTGGCCACACGTCCAGCATAAACAGCCGCCATCCGAGGAAGGCAGGGAGGGAGGAGATCAGCTGGGGACCCCATGCACCCGACGTTGCCGGCCCACCACCTGCTCTAAGGTGACCAAGCAGGATCACTATGCTGAGGTTCAATCCAGTTCCTAGGGGGCCATCCTTACTTCTAAGGAAAATTCTGGACGTACTTTTTCAAACACAGATTCATTTCTTCTGGCAGTTCATGGGTATATGCAATATTGTTTGCCAAAATCATAATTCAAAAGCATCAATTCCTCTTTGGTTTTCCTTTGCCCAACTTTTGCATATATATGAGGCGACTGAAAATGCTTAGGTCAGACACACCTTAGTCTTCAAAGTGGCATCTTTGCTTATTAACACTTTCAAGAAATCTTTTGCAACAGATTTTCTCAATGCAACACACCATTTGATTTCTGGACTGCTTCTTCCATGGGTGTTGACTGTGGATCCAAGTAAACTGAAATCTTTGATAGCAATCTTCTCTGTTAGTCATGATGTTGCATATTGGCCCCATTGTGAGGCTTTTGTTTTTTATATTGAGTGTAATACATACTTAAGGTTGTAATCTTTGCTTGACTTCCTCACTTAGGCAAACTAAGCTAATTTATCTGCCTACGGCAGGTTGTTAATTAGTCTTCCTCCAATCCCCGATGGCATGTTTTCTTCCTATAGCCCAACTTCCCAGTTTATTTGCTCAACATATAGATTGAACAAGTATAGTGAAAGGATACAACCCAGACATACCTTTTTTTTTTATTTTAAACCATGTAGTATCCCCCTTAATCTGTTAGAATGACTGCCTATTGGTCTATATTTCACATGAACACAATTAGAATTCCCTCTCATTCTTCATAATGTTATCCATAATTTGTTATGATCTACATAGTTGAATAGTTGTATAGTCAATAAAGCACAGGTAAACATCTTCCTGGTAGTCTTTGCTTTCAGCTGAGATTCATCTGACGTTAGCAATGATATCCCTAGGGACATGGTGGTAGTGGTTGTCTGCCATCGAGTCAGTTCTGACTCATAAGTGACTCTGTATAGGATTTCCAAGGCTGTAAATATTTACGGGTGCAGAAAGCGTCATCTTTCTCCCATGGAGTGACTGGTAGAATCAAACTGCTGACCTTGCAGTTAGCAGCCCAACTTAAAACCCACCATGCTTCCAGGACTCCTTCCGTAGGGACACGTTTTTGTTAAGTGCTGTACAGATAGGGTTTCTGAGGAGCAGCTGTTGAGTTTAAACCACCGAACCACCGACCTTATGGTTTTCAGTATGGTGCTGACCCTACAGCGCCACTCCAGGAATACCTCTGTAGGGATATAGGCCCCTGGATTCTTGCCCAAGTCAGAAATCACTCTGTGTCTGTATATTCACATGTTGTTGTTAAGTGCCGTTGAGTCGGTTCCGACCCATAGCGACCCTGTAGAGGATTTCCGAGGAACTGGTGAGCTTGAACTGATGACCATGCGGTTCAAACAGATTTTGCATTACAGCGCATTAACCCACAGTGCCATACCACAAGTCCATAAATACACATATTTGATAATTAAAAGCATATTTTCAAATAATTTGGCATGTCCACGATCTGACAGATGAGCATTGTAATTCCAATTTAAAATGCAAAAGCTAAAATATATAGTGAGGTCATAAGTAAAATGTTTCAGTAATTGATATTTGTTTTGTGGTTTTACACTGAAAGGTTAACAGTGGTTAGAAACAACAGCTGCAAATAGAATTATCTAAGAAACTGTATGAAGAGGTGCTCCATATTCTAATTCTATATTAAAGATATAAACAGTTTTTTGTTGTTTGGGGTTTTTTGGCTCCCCAGACTGGTGTGGCACTGTAGGGTAAGCATTCGACTGCCAACTACAAGATCAGCAGTTCAAATCCACCACTCTCAGGAAACCGCATACAGGGTGGCTATGAATTGTAACTGATTCAGTGGTACTTAAACAACAACAACCATCTAAGTTATTGGATTTTCTAAAGCTGTTTAAGTATTCTGGGGAAACAGTGCTTGCTACATTATACATCTTAATTACTTAAAAAGAAAATCAAATTTTTTAAATTTACAAATGCTGTTAACTGTTTGTTGTTAAGTGCTGTGGAGTCAATTCTGACTCATAGCAACCCTGTATAGGGTTCTGAGTTGTGGCTGGTTAACTGTTTGAAGGAATTTAATTAAACTGTAAATAGGGCTGACTGCTTAAAGGAATTTAGCTTGTTCACCTTGAGTCAAACATTCGTCAAAGAGAAATTCAGGGTCATTTTTCTCCATTTTCCTAGCTTTATTTATAGAATAACAATTTCTAGGTTGAAATAGAAGCCGGAAAAACCACTGTTTCATAAATTGTTACTTCAAAATGAGAACAAATTTCAAAGGCAAATAAATAAAACAAGCCACACCTTGGCTCCCAGTCAACCCAGACAAAGGATTCCTCTCTCTAAAGCCCAGGTCAGATTTATAACATGATTAGCAAGACATAGGTACCCTTTACCTGTAGCCTTACAATTTGTTCCCCCAAGGGACTTGCCAGAATGATTTGCAGATAGTAAAGAGCCCTAGTAAGTGTAATTTATGAAGGAGTTCTGGTACTGTTGTGATTGCAAATTGGGCTGCTAATCTCAAGGTCAGCAAATCCAAACTACCAGCTGCTCCATGGGAGAAAAATGAGGCTTTCTGCTCTGGTAAAGATTTACAGCCTCAGAAACCCTGTGCACTGAGTTGGACCATGTAACCACCATCATGGACATGGAGCATTTCATGTTTTTCCTTTCCAATCCCTAGTCCAGCATATTGCTGCTTTTTGTAGATGAATGGTCCAATGCATAAAGTACCTGATCAAAGTCAGAGAGGCAGAGGCAGATCCAGACCAGAATTCAGTCCCAGGTTTTGAATGTCACCCCTATCCTGATGATGTCAATCTCTGGTTCAGACCTCTTCTCTGAACCCCAAACCCACATCCCATTTGCTTTCTGGTATCTCCACCTAACAGGGTCAAACAGAACTTCAGATCATCCCAGATCTTGTCCATTCATATTCCATCTATCTAGTTGCTGAGGTCAAACTTCATTCTTGAATCCTCTTTCCCCCACACAATCTACACGTATCTGTCTGTCCTATTTCTCAAAACAAATCCAATTTACCCCCTAATCAATGTTACTATCTTACCCCTAAGAAACCACCACACCTTCCCCTCTTCATTCTATTCTATAGAGGCACAAGAATGATGGTTATTCTTGTTAAGTGCTGTCAGTTCTCACTCATTGAATCTTTACAGGAGTAAAAATTCTTATCTTTTCCCACCAAGTGGGAGGTAGGCTTGAACTTCCGACCTTGTGATTAGCAGTCCAGTGCTTATCCTATTGACCTACTGCATTCCCAGGATGATGCTATTAAAATATAAACTAGATGTTACATTCTTCCTTAAAACCAGTGCAATTGGGAGGAAATAGGTTCTTGGTGTGGTGCTGTGGGATAAACACTGGACCACAAGGTCTGCGGTTCTAACTCACCAATGTTTCCTCGGAAACCCTACACTGGGTCGTTATGAGTCGGAATCCACTTGACGGCACTTAGTAACAACTACAAACTACAAGAAGCCTTGGTGGCGCTGTAGGATAAGCACTGGAGTGCTAACTGCAAGGTCAGCAGTTCAAACCTACCAGTGGCTCTGCGGCTGTCTGCTTCCGTCAAGATTTAGTCTCGGAAATCCTATACACATAGTCGCTATGAATCGGAATCTCGTCAATGTCACTGGGTTTCTAAATTTACTACTGAGCTACAAGGCCAGACGTCAGCTGATCCAAGCTGAGCCTGTTCGCTATAGAGTTCACTGGGCTGCTTTCCCGTAAACTACTGTAAGAGTTGCTGCTGCCTCAGGGCCTTTACACCCGCTTTACTTCAGATTTGACGGCTCAAACGTCACCCTCATAAAAGTCTTCCCCATCACCCTGTCTAAAATGGCACCACCTCTCTTCCCCAGTCTCGTTAGTGGTTCATAGTAGTACTTGGCTGTTATTCTATCACTTCCCATCTTCCCACACACGCACTGGAGGGAGGGATCCTTGAGAACTTGGACCTGTACCCCGGTGGGCTCCTAGAGCATGGCCCAAAGGACGTTCATTGAACCAAAGTCCTCGCTTTTCCTATTCCCAAAAAGTGAGTGTGTTCCATGTCTCCCGCCTGCCAGGCCAGGACTCTCGGATGCGAAACCCGGGGCTGAAGGGGACACGCCAGACCTCGATCCAAGGCCACTCCCCCAGAGAAGTTAAGCCTCCAGGACTCAACTTTCCCCCTAAATTCCACTTCTGGGCCTCGGAGATGAGCGAGAAGACGAGGCGGGGTCCCGGATGCCAAGGTTCCCTCACCCTTCTCCCCATCCAGCTCCCCATCCCGTTAAGTGGTCCATCCCGAGATGAGCCTAAGTCCTCCATTAGCAGGAAAGGGACCAGGACTCGCCAGCCCGCAACATCCAAGAAGGTACCTGGCTCCTAGGGCCGGGCGGTTCCGGGTTCCTCCTCCTTCGCCTTCGCGTCGCCCACTGGTTGCTGGGATCCGTAGTTCTTCTTTGGTTATCAGTCCTCCCTTCCCAGAAACCTTTGAGAACCAAAGTTTAGAAACCGCCGGAGAGGGGGAGGGCGGGTGACGCGCAAGGACTACTGGGAATTGTATTTTGAAATAGTCAATCAGCAAAAAGACTGAGGAAAGGAATTAGGTAATAAATCTTAGCTAACTGTATTTGGATTGTTCTGGTCTCGATATTTTGGTACTTTTCTCTCTTGCAGACCAATAGTTGTCTCTATGGGTTACAACGACTATCACTGAGATTCACAGGAACTACCAGTCCCGGAAAGTATTGCACGTCAAAGGCCTTTCTTTGGAAGGCGAGGTCGGTTGCGCCGCAGGCGTGGTTGCGCGAGTTCGGCAGTCAAGAAACATGGCGGGACCGACGGTTACTGCGAGTTTGTACTCCCTGCTGTTCCGCAGAACCTCCACTTTCGCCCTCACTATCGCTGTGGGCGCCCTGTTCTTCGAGCGCGCCTTTGATCAAGGCGCGGACGCGATCTACGAGCACATCAATGACGGGGTGAGGGCCTGGACCGTCCCTGACCTTGGACCCGCCGGAGGGGTGACATGGGGGTGGGGCGGGACTCGTCTATCTTTACGAGGAAGGGGGTGAACCGTGGGCTTCTGATTTCTAGACGGCCGCCCTCTCGGCCAGGTGTGAATCCTAAAGCGTTAAATTAGGTTAATAGATCTCATTTTGCAGAGGTTGTAGGTTTTAATGTCTCCCACCCCACGTACTCATTTGTACGTTTGCTGAAGCGAAAACTATATCGTGATGAGGGCCAAGGCCTTACTAGGATACATCACCAGCAAATAGTGGCAAGTCAAAACTGGATCCCTGGTCCCCTACCTCCTCTGACGATTTCAAGGGCAGACTTGAACAGGCGCTGGACATGGAAAAAGTATCTTCTTAGATATTGTGGCTGGCTTTTTCCATAGCACTTTTGGATTCCCAAGGCTTCCTACGCAGAGCTTCATATTAATAATTATTAATTATATTAATTGGAGTCTTGGTGTGGCGCTGTCAAATAAGCACTGGACTGCTAACCACAGGGTCAGCAAGCAGTTCAAACCTACCAGCCTCTCCTCGGAAACCCTATTCGGAGTCGCTGTGAGTTGGAACCAATTTTATGGCACTCAACGTCAGCAACATTGATATTGATTAATATTAATGTTTTTATTAAGTGCCATCGAGTCAATTCTGACTCATAGCGACCCAGTATAGGGTATCCAAGGAATGGCTGGTGGGTTTGAACTGCTAACCGCAAGGTGTGTGGTTCAAACCCTACAGCTGCTCCTTGAAAACCCTATATAGGGTGGCTTTGAAATCAGAACCACAGGTGGGAATACCTGGTTTGTCACTTAATACCTATTACCCTTGTAGCAAGTTACTTAACCTCTCAACTTGAGTTTTCTTACCGTAAAATAGAAGTAATGATGTTAATCCCTTCAGGGAATTACACCTTGTTTTCACTTACTGATGATCACAGTTAACTGACATTTTGCATTTACAACACTGGTAAAGAAAAAATTCCCAAAAAGCTATCCAATATTTTGCTTATTGAAGAAGCTTGTCTGGCTTTCAGGAAGGCTGAGGGTCAAGGAGAGAGGAATGCTGGCTTTGATGGTTAAGGTTAAGTGGCTACTTGATTGGGCCAGAAATCTAAGTGGTTTGGTTGTTGTTAAGTGCTGTCGAGTCGGTTCTGACCCATAGCGACCCTGTACAGGATTTCCGATGCTGTACATCTTTGCAGGTGCAGAAAGCCTCATCTTTCTCCCGCAGAGTAGCTGGTAGTTTTGAACTGCTGACCTTAAGGTTTGCAGCCCGATTCATAACCACTATGCTACCAGAGCTCCTTAGTCATCTTTCATTTTGATCTGATCATCTGTTTTTGCATAATTTCACATTCGACCTGGTCCTAGAAACTTAACCATGTTAATAAGTAAGGAAAGGTTGTATTGTGAAGATTATATTATAAGATACTGAACATGGTAGGTGCTGGTGATTGGTAGGTGCTGGTGGTCAGATAATCTCATGGTTTTCCCATGGACTGGCTGGTAGATTTGAGGAAGGTGGTATCACTCAAAATAACATTGATTACATTCCTCAGGCAAAAGTGGAAACATAGGGAATGACCACCCCCTTAAAACTAATTCTGTGCTAGGTGCTCTGAATGCTTATGTCTTAAATATAACAGGCCCTCATTGCTGAGTATAGTTGTTCCTCGTCTTTAGATACAGAAATCTTAGTTCATGTTGGGAAAGGCCTTGTCCAGTAGTCCTCCTGTTTTTAATTCCAGGCTGTCTGACTCTACGGCCCAGGTAGGCTCTTTCCACTGATGTTGTCCTGCCAGTGTTGCCACTCTTCCGATGTCCTATAGGTGGTTCTGTTGACCACGCCCACTGTCCTGAGAAAGCATCTAAACTGGTTATCCTCCCAACCTACCTATTTTCCTTTGTTGTTAGGACTGAGAATCCAGCCAGTTCCTATCCCAAGGATCATAGACCTGAGGAAGTAAACATGGGCACAATGTGGAATATGTGGAGTCCTGATGTGGTGGTGTAGGATAAGTGCTAGACTGCTAACCACAAGGTCGACAGTTCAAACCCACCAGCTGCTCTGTGGGAGAAAGATGAGACTGTCTGTTTTTATAAAAATGTACAGCATTGGAAACCCTCAGGAGCAGTTCTCCTCTGTCTTACGGCGTCACTGTGAATTGGAATCAACTCGACGGCAGTGGGTTTTTTGGTTTATGCACTTAGGCAGGAGCCCTGGTGGTATAGTGACTAAGCACACAGCTGTTACCAAAGGTCAGTGGTTTTGAACCCATCAGCCTGTCCATGGGAGGAAAGATCTGCTCCTGTAAAAGTGATAGCCCAGGAAGCCCCATCAACTCCAAACTCACTGCCGTCAAGTCTCAGGCAGTGACCCTAAATGGAGTTTCCAAGCCTGTAAATCTTCACGGCATCACAAAGCCTCTTATTTCTCCCTGGTGGACTGCCAGCCCAGGAACTAGCAGTACAGTGTTTATCCTACAGCATCACCAGGGCTCCCTGTAAGGCAGTTTCACTCCGTCCTAAAGGGTTGCTATGAGTCAGAATTGACTTGACCTCCACAACAATACAGCACTGTGCACTTAGGAAGGTCCCTGGTGGCGTGGTTTGACCACTAACCAAAAGATAAGCAGTTCACACCCACCCAGCAGCATCATAGAAGAAAGGTCTAGCAGTCTGCTTCCATAAAAATTACAGCCAAGTAAAGCCTAAAGAGCTTGGTTCTACTCTGTCACACATGGGTCACCATGAGTTGAAATGGACCAGACAGCAATGAATTTGTTTTTTGTTTTTTATTATGCACTTAAACACCCCTTTCTCTCCCCTCCAAAACATCAAAAACTGCCATTAAGTCAGTTCCTACTCATAGCAACCTCATACAGGGTTTCTAAAGCTATAAATCTTTACAGAAGCAGAAAGCCTCATATTTCTCCTTGAGAGTGGCTGTTGGGTTTGAACTGCCAACCTTGCAGTTAGCAGTCCAGTGCTTATCCTATAGCATCACTTGTTAAGTGCTGTCGAGTTGTTTCCAACCCCTTGTGACCCTGTTTAGGGTTTCCAAGGAGTGGCTGCTCATTGAACTGCTGACACTGCTATCCAGACCAACCACTGCAATCAAGTGCCACACCACGACTCCTAATAATACGTGGAAGTGCTATCAAGTCATTTCTAGTTTATGGGACATTGTGTGGGTTTGGTCAGTTTCCTCAAACTCTCTGAATGTCAGTTTCCTTTATAAGTAAAAGTATTCCTTCCCACGTACTTTATATAGGAATTAAGCCCATGAAAGCATTCTATAAATGTTAGTATCTGTGTGTCAAGCCTAGTATTGTTTCCATTTTACCTACCACAACTGAATGCTTTTAATTCCAGGCTATCTCACTCTATAACCCCGAAAGGCTCTTTGCATTAGCTGAACTGCTGGTGCCCAGGGCAATTTCTTCCCGTATAAAATGCCATTATTCTTTTGTGTTCCTTTAAAGCTTGGTTTAGAGACCAGGGCAATAGGAATCATTATTAAATATAAGGGGCAAAGCTAAAGGTTTGTGACTCTTGTCTTTAAAATGCAGAAGCTGTGGAAACACATCAAGCACAAGTACCAGCAATAAGTAGCTTCTCGGAAGGCCTCATCCCAGGCTGGAAGGACCAGGTCCACCCACGGCTGCCCAAAGCCAAGGCTTTAACTTGAAGATGATGTTCAAGTTACTCTTCACGGACCACCTTTACTTGTTGGCGAAATGGCTTTCCCTAATAAACTCTTAACTTCTGCTATGTTTGAAGAATGTTTAGTCAAAGTCATCAAGAAATAAATGTAAAGTATCTTTGACATCTGCTTCTGAATTGGGTACTTTGTTAACTCCACCTGATCTTCACTTGACTGTCATTTGACAACACTTCATAGTCCTCTGCAAACATCTGAAGGGCAGAGTCCACTATTTTGGGTTTCTGGTTAGTCTCCCAAGAATTCTGGTTTTCAAAATAGGAGCCAGAGTTGAAGGGGTTGCCTTCAACTTTGGCTTCTGAACCTATAATTCCGATCTTTAAATTACATAGAGGAGAGCTAACTGGCTTGGCCTTAGGGAGGTTATATAGCCTAGAAAGGGGAAAACATCTTGGCCTTGGTGTCTTCAACTATGCCACACCCACATTTTAATCTTCACTCTGCCTTTAATTTAACTGAGTGTCTTTGGGTAGGTTCCCATATTTCTCTGGACTGCTGTCCATTTTAAAGTTAGACCAGAATGCAAATCACTTACACTGTTCTCTGGTAAGTTCCATTTCTCATGGTACTTGTTTGATGGGTTTGAGTTCTCACTCACCTGTGGTAGCTGTTGTGACAGACTTAACTTTGCTGAACTTCAGTTTTCTGACCTGTAAAATGAGGCTAGTTGAAGGCTTTTTGAGATTATTGAGAAAAAGCACAGTCTACAGATGACACATGGAAAGATCTTTGAGGACCCAGAAAGCCAGAAAATTATACTGGAAGGCTATCGGCAGTAGTAATAGGAGAGAGAGGGGATTCAAGATCATTTGATCTTTCAACAAACCTTGCATTGGCCACTGTGTTTGAGACACTGTGCTAGGTGGTGGGCACACAGTGGTGGTGGGCACACAGTGATAAAAGGGGCACATGAGGCTTGGCATCTGTAGGAGAGAGAGTTGGTAGCATCCTATATGATTACATACTGGACCAAGGGCTCTGGGGTAACTAAGGGGAGACAGGGTGATTGAGGGAGGTCTTGAAAGAAGTAATGTTTGAGAGACCTGAGGAATAAAACTGAGCTACTGTGTTGGATGGAGGGGGATGAGAGAAAATAGCATGTTTGAAGGTTCCAAAGTGGGGGAACACTTGTATCTGAGGAACTAAAGGTCTCTTTGGCTAAGGGAAGGAGTCCTGGTGGTATTGAGTTAGATGGGCTGCTTACCACAAGGTCAGTGGTTCAAACCCAGCAGCTGCTCTGCAGGAGAAAAGTTGTCTACTCCCATAAAGATTTAGTCTTGGAAACCCTACGAAGGGTCATTATGAATTGAAATTGACTCAGCAGTGGGTTTCTTTGGTAGCCAAGGGCATGGAACTGTAGGATCAGCACTGGACTGCTAACTGCAAAGTTGGCTGCTCAAACACACCAGTCGCTCCTAGAAACATTGTATAAGGTTGCTATGAGTCAAAACTGACTTGATGGCTTTTATCAACAAAGGTGGCTGAAGACTGAACGTAGAGTAGCAAAAGCAAATAGAAGAAATGAAGTAAAAAGAGCTGAAAAGAACACTTCAAAGGACAGCTCAAGAAGACAAAGTAAAGTAGAATTGAGCAAAGACCTGGAATTAGAAAACCAAAAGGAAAGAACACAATATTTCTTAAAACTGAAAGAACTGAAGAAAAAAATCCAACCCTCAACCTGCAATATTGATGGTTTCTGTGGACAGAATATTGAGTGATTTGGAAGCATTGGAAGAAAATGGAAAGAATACACAGAGTCACTTTACCAAAAAGAATTATTTGGTGTTCAACCATTTCAAGAGGTAGCTATGATCAAGAGCCAATGGTATTGAAGGAAGAAGTTCAAGCTGTACTTAAGGCATTAGCAAAAAGACAAGACTCCAGGATTGATGTTATATCAATGAAAATGTTTCAACAAACTGATGCAGCACTGGAAATGCTCATTGTTGGTAAGTGCCACTCATAGGGACCCTGTATAGGGTTTCTAAGGAGCAGCTGGTGGGTTTGAACCAACATTATGGTTAGCAGTCTACTGCTGATCCTACCATGCCACACCAGGACTCCACTAGTCTGTGCTAAAAGAATTTGGAAGACAACTATCAAGCCAACTGACTGGAAGAAATCCATATTTTTGCCCGTTCCAAAGAAAGATGACCCAACATAATGCAGAAACCATTGAATATCAATTATATTTAATTAATATCACATGCAAATAAAATTTTGCTGAAGATGATTTTAAAATGGTTGCAGCAGCATATTAACAGGGAGCCAGCTGCCAGAAATTCAAGCCAGATTCAGAAGAGGGCGTGAAGGATATTGTTAATGTTAGATGGATACCAGAAAGATGTTTCCTTATGTTTTATTAACGATGTAAAAGCATTCAGTGTGGATCATACATAACAAACTATGGATAACATTGTGAAGAATGAGAATTCCAGAACACTTAATTGTGCTCAAGCAGAAAGTGTACATGGAACAAAAAGATACTGTAGAGTCTAAAATCAGGAAAGATTCAACATGCAAAATAATGAAAACTTAGATATTATCAAACTTCTTAAGGCAATGAATTGCTAGACCTTGGGGCTCAGGACCATAGTCTCAGAGGACACAAATGGTCAATTGGTATAACATAGTCCACAAAGATAATCTTGTATATCCTGCTTTGGTAAGTAATGTCTGGGATCTTAAAAGCTTATGAGTGTACCCAAAATGGGGAGGGGGCTACAAAGGCATGAAGTGACTGGCTTTCAAGCTTTCAAGAGGGAGCCTAGTTTCAGAGGGTACTGGGGAAGGTAGAATCTTCACTGAGTGGTTTCCAACCTGTCTGGACGAGGCTGGTGAAAGGAGATGGGGATAAGACTCTTAGGGTTCAATAGTGAATAATTACTATCAGGACTGATTGTGAGTATTACAAATGTAAAAGTAGATATTTTGTAACAAAAGGAGGGGAGTGGTTGATCTTGCAGTCCAGGAACGGAGGACACTGGGACCATCAAGAGGGAAAAGTGGAGTGCAGGACGCTATCCAGAGAAGCAGTGATACCAGAAATGGAAGCAGAAACGACATGGAAAGGTGGAGTGGCTGGGGACTCTGGACTCAGGGATAGCGTGGGGCTGTCTGCTGATGGCTAGGGGGCAGGTTTACGGGGTATACCCTTTGGTTTGAATGGTTATATATTCCCCCCCAAAATGAGAGGGAATGGAAGTAAGTGCTGTTATATGATGATGCATGGAGGGGATTGTAATCATTGCAATGAAACGAAATACAATAGGATGAATGTAAAGCTGATGTTCTCCCATGTAAACTATCACCCAATTCACAATAAAAACTTAAGAAAAAAAAAAAAAAAAAAGCTTTTGAGTGACCATCTAAGGTGCAGCTATTGGTCTCTCCATGTGTGGAAGGAAGAAGAGTGATGAGAATTGAAGATGCTTAGAATTAATTAGTCCAGTAGACTGATGGAACATGTGGACACTAGTCTCTATAACTCTGACTCTGAGACCAGAAAAACTAGACGGTGCCTGGCCACCACTACCAACTTCTGTGAAAGGGATCATACTAGAAGGTCCCCGATAGAGTGGGAGAAAATGGAACAAAATTCAAAATTATTTTTAAAAAGACCATAGTTACTTTCAGATAGAGACTGAAGGAACTCGAGACTATGGCTCTTGACCACCCTTTAGATCTGCAAAGAAGTCACCCTCACGGGCCAGTTTTCAGCTAAGCAGTAAGTTGGTATATTTGTTGTTGTTAGGTGCCATCTAGTTGGTACTGACTCATAGCGACCTTATGCACAGCAGAATGAAACACTGCCTAATCCTGGGCAGGAGGGACCAATTACTGGAGAAGGATATCATGTTTGTAAGGTGGAGGGTCAGAGAAAAAAAGGAAGACCCCCAACAAGATGGATTGGCTAGCTGGCAGCATTGATGGACTCAAGCGTGACAACAGTAGTGAGGTTGGCCCAAGTTGGTATATAGCAGAGCTATGCTCACCATGGAATGGTGAGTCACTTAAAAACAAAAGGGCAGCATTTACCTAAGGACAAAGTTGAGAAGGCATGGGAAGGTGGGTAGAATGGAAATAGGAACCACAGGAAGGAACTGGGATAGCTTTTGATGCATGGAGGGGATCGCGATCATTGAGATGAAACAAAGGGTATGATTTGTTGGATGTAATACTGATAATCTTCTCTGTAAACCACTCAATTCACAATAGAATGTAAAAAAAAAAAAAAAAAAATCAGAAAAGGTGTGTGACAGAGTTGTATCCTTTCACCATAGTTATTCCATCTGTATGCTGAACAAATCCAAGAAACTGGACTATATGAAGAAAAACATGGCATCAGGATTGGAGGAAGGCTCATTAGCAACCTACAATGTGGTGAAAGTGAAGAGGACTTGACACAAAGATGAAAATCAAAGTAGGAATAACAACTCAGTGTAGAGAAAACAAAAATCCTTACAACTATACCAATAAACAACATCATGATAAACATATAGGATTGAAGTTGTCAAGAATTTCATTTTACTTGAACTCACAATCAGTTGGTCATGGAAGCAGCAATCAAGACATCAAGTGATGTATTGCATTGGGTAAATCTGCTGCAAAAGACTTTATTAAAGTGTCAAAGCTGTCACATTGGAGACTAAAGTACACCTGACCTACACAATGGTATCTTTCATCATCTCATATTCATGTGAAAGCTGGAGAATGGATAAGGAAGACCAGAGAAGAATTGGTGCTTTTGAATTGTGGTGCTGGCATAAAATATTAAAAATACCATGGACTGCCAGAAGAACAAGCACATCCAGAATGCTCCTTGGAATCGAGGATGGCAAGATTTTATCTCATATACTCTGAACGGGTTTTCAAAATGCATCAGTC